TCGTTAGGAAAACAATAGGGCTTCGCCCTTTCAGGGCTTGGGCCCTAATAATCGTTAGGAAAACAATAGGGCCTTCGCCCTTTCAGGGCTTGGGCCTAAATATAGCTGCGAGCAGCGTGGCGGCCCAAGCCGGTGGCACCGCAACCCCGTTCCTTTAGTTACCTAAATGCACCGGGTGGCGGTGCGAAGGCTTTGGCCTTTTATTGATTAAATGTAAAACGGCTTGCCATACTCTGTCATTTCGACTAGTCACAATTATGTTACAGATATCTTAAATGATAATACAAACTATCCAAATGTAATTACGAATAGACAGAAAGACGTTGTTGATATCTATCAATGTTAATTCCGGACAGGCAGAACTTAGCTTTTAAATGTTAAAAGGGCTTGCCATACAGTGATGTAGGCTCAGAGAGGCTCCCATATTCAAACCAAAATATCTGACTTCCTCTTGGTCCGAGCTAATGACTATGTATTAGAAAGTTGTCCGGCTTGAGGAGTACAGATGTATATTAGCGATTTTTGTAACTGTAGATAAAACTAACAACCCCACTTTTGTTCAAAAGGTGGCGCTATTTAGTCCTTGCACTATGCCCGTTTCCTGAAACGTTGCACATGTCTACTGGCTAATAAATGTGATGTATCTGTTGAGTTTCAAGCAATTTCAATTTCAATTTCAATTTGACTGTTTGAAAAGAAGTGCGCGCGATTAGAATACTCAGGATCGGTATCGGCTCTGACACTGGCATCTTTGACGAGGCTGATTCAAATTCTATATTGTGCATATATACTATTCTATGTTAGGCAAAAGGCACAAAAACTTTCTAAAGTACCATAAAGTTTTTTGTGTACTGTATTATTAGTGTTCTGAAGCTATTATGTGATATAGAAATTAATATTTAAGTCATTAAATTCAAGAACACAAACTTTTCCCTCTCTGCGCCTGTCCAGTCATTCTCCATTCAGCATTCAAACAGCACGTCACATTCGGTTACAGTCAATGATGAAACGATCTTCAAGATGATTGAATGTTAATCCTATTATACTGATCTTTAAGATAAAGGTCTAAATGTCTATATTTTCGAAATGAAGAAACTTTTTCTTGCTGGACTTTATTGCTGTAACTTAACCGTGTTACTTTCTACCGGGTGTCGGACGCTGTCGGTTAGATCACAACACTAGAGTCAGAGCACTAAATATTGTCTTCACGCACACAGTAACTGAAATTTAAAACCTTTAAAAGAGAAGGCTCAATAAACTATTGCAAGAGATAGATAATGTATAATACACTGTTCATAAATATGTATTTCCTTTGTGCTTTGAACTTTTCAATACGGATTCACTGCGCTGTAACTTCATGTGGCTTCAAGCACATCATTCTCCGCTCGGATGCACATAAGTGCTTTGTGCTGCACCGTATCGGAGCCGTAATATCATAATGCAGTGACGTAATGACAGATTATTAATTGCCTTTCAATTATATGTTGCTGCGTCATTAAACATCTGTCCTATGCATTTCAAACATTTATAGCAGCCATGGCTATATTTTTTTTATGATTTTTGTTATCTTGTTTTTCATGAATGTATTTTTCAAAATAAGAGCAATGTGTATTATCTATTATTAATATGGTTTAATAAGCATTTTTGTCATAGATTATGACAAAGTAATCATATGATCCACCAGCGAGGAACCAGCAGAACAGAGTGAACATTCTTTCTGTTTAGTTCAATCCTACTTAATAGGAATTTATTTAAAATGCTCGCTCTACTCCACACCATTAATGTCTTGTGCGGACATCCGTATTTCGACTTTCGATTTAAGTAAGCGATTTAAAAGCTCCCAAGTCCCAGCGGAGTCACACGTTGATTAACCGGTGGGAATATACACAATAGGCCTACCTGATATTGAACACAAGAGGGCAGTATAGCACTACGTATGACTCAGATTATTATTTTTTTTATGAATTTTACAACAATTATGGCTGTTTTTGAACGTAAACATAATTCTTAAATGAAAAAAAGGAAAAATTGGGGAAGTTATAATATTTGTATAATTTAATTTAGAAACAAATGATGTATAATTACATTTTTAGAAGATATGAGGCTTTTAGTGTTTACTTTTTTGACATTACTTTAATCTTTTGCCATAGTTGCACATGTCTACTGGCTAATAAATGTGATGTATCTGTTGAGTTTCAAGCAATTTCAAGCATGCTAAGAGTCCCAAAAGCATCAAAAAAGAATGTTAAAGTTCGATTCGTTGCCACGGCAACAGTATCAAAGATATCAAAAATTCATTCACAGGTCTACATCTGCCGTGTATTTACATTATATACAGATGAAGTTTGAAGCAAATCGGTTAAAATAAGAGATTGGTTTCAAAGCATTTTGAAAGTGACACACTTCCTGCTGCCAGTTGGTGGCGCTATAATTTTGACTCACAATAGTCACATCCATGTGATCGGTCTCTTACAGCGAAAACACTGCTGAAGTTTCATCAAGATCAGTTAATGTATGCTGAAGTTATAACACACATCCTGTTTCATGTTTCTCGCCATAATTTCGTTTCCTCGCCACGGCCAAACCGTTCGAGATATAAAAAATTCCTTGGCACCTTTTCATTCTTAATGTCTTGACTTCACGCTGATCGAGTTTTGTCGAATTTGGTTCAGTGCTCTAGAGCAATACTTTAAATTCCATTGCATGTGTTTTAAACACAACCCTAAATAGCCGTCTTCCTGTTGGGCTGGGGTAAAAAGTAAGAGTGTGAAGTAGGCTATATATGAAACGATGAGATCTATATGTGTACCAAGTTTCATATTATTACATGCAAGTGTGTTTGATTTATGGACCAAATTTTCAGACCAAGTTTATTGACCAAGTTAATCTGATTAATAAACTAATTATATAAAACTATTGTCAATGCACTACAATTAAACTAGTTATATGTCTTTACTTATAAAAAATAAAAATAAAAACTTATTTAAAAAATACCAGGCTTGAGAAATGTATTTTCTTTATGCAGGTCATACACACAGCAGTGAAATGGTTAAGCCCCCTCCCCCTGCACACTCACACACACACAGACAGCCAGCCAGCCAGCCAAAGACACAGAGACATGTAGGCTCAGAGTGACCATATTCAAACAAAAATATCTGAGTTTCTGTGGGTCCTAGCTAATAAGTGTAAATTAGAAAGTTGTCCGGCTCGAGGAGTACAATATACATACCAATTTTTGTAACTCTAGTTAAAACTAACAACCCCACTTTTGTCAAAAGGTGGCGCTACTGAGCCCTCACCACGCCCGTTTCTGAAACTTTGCACATGTCTACTGGCTAATAAATGTGATGTGTCTGTCGAGTTTCATGCATTTTGAAGCATGCTAAGGGTCTCAAAAGCATCCTAAAAGCATCCTAAAAGAAGGGTAAAGTTTGATGCGTCGCCACGGCAACAGTTTCAAAGATATCAAGAATCCATTCACAGGTCTACATCTATCGTATGTTTACATTATACAGATGAAGTTTGAAGCAAATCGGGTAAAAATAAAAGGGTGATATCAAAGCATTTTGAAAGTGACACACTTCCTGCTGCCAGTTGGTGGCGCTATAACTTTGACTCACAATAGTCACATCCATGTGATCGTCCTCTTACAGCGAACACACTGCTGAAGTTTCATCAAGATCAGTTAATGTATGCTGAAGTTATAACACACTTCCTGTTTCACGTTTCTCGCCATGATTTCGTTTCCTCGCCACGGACAAATCGTTCGAGATATCAAAAATCCCCTCGCAAACTTTCATCCTCAATGTCTTGACTTCACGCTGACTGAGTTTTAGTCGAATTTGGATCAAAGCTCTAGGAGGAGTATTTGACATTCCATTGCGAGCGTTTTACAAACAAACCTCAATAGCCGACTTCCTGTTGAGCTGGGGTAAAAAGTAAGAGCGCGAGGTATAGATGAAACGATGAGATCAACATGTGTACCGAGTTTCATATTATTACATACAAGCGTGTTTGAGTTATGGACCAAGTGTTCGGACCCCGTTCCAGGGGGCGCTGACGAGCCGCCCTGCCACGCCCGGGTACCATCTTCAGCCCGGCTCTGATGGCCGCGGGTTCTGACCCGTGTGCAAAGTTTCAAGAGTTTTCGAGCATGTTAAGGGCCCCAAAAATGCCCAAAAGGTAGCAGAAAAATAAAAAGAAGAAGAAGAATAATAAATAATCCCAAGGAAAACAATAGGGCCTTCGCCCCTTCAGGGCTTGGGCCCTAATAATAATAATCCTAAGGAAAACAATAGGGCCTTCGCCCTTTCAGGGCTTGGGCCCTAATAATAATCGTTAGGAAAACAATAGGGCCTTCGCCCTTTCAGGGCTTGGGCCCTAATAATCGTTAGGAAAACAATAGGGCCTTCGCCCTTTCAGGGCTTGGGCCCTAATAATAATCCTAAGGAAAACAA